CAGGTTTCCCCCAACACACACTTTCTTACCAAAGCCTGTCCAGTCCCTCATGTCACATCACAACGCACACACACACAAACAGACAAATAATTACCTTACAGATGCAATGTGTCTCTGCTAGCATCCCCACCAAGAACATCTCATAAAATGTTGTAAAATGAGCATATATGTCAAAATGTAGATTATATTTTATAGAGCCCATTTATGTGAACATTATGCCCTTCCATAACAATCTGATTTATGTGACAGATGGATATAACAAACATTCCCTTGCGTTACACATGAAAGGGCTGCTAGTTGAAGTAATTAAACAGCAATTAAGTTGGTTAAGATAAGCAATAAAAGCACGGCAGCCCACAATTTCTGTTTTGTTTATTATAGTCTGATAAAGCCCAATAGGCATTTGCTTGAGTTACGGGCACTGCCAGTGCACAAAAATTAGCCGTAGGTTATCTCTGGACACTCACTAATATCCAAAAGAGTGGCCTGTTAAATATAAGCCATTAGGTTTAAAGAACTCACCAATCATTGACCACGAACTGTCCTAATAACTGGACAGTTATAAGGACTAGATGTTGTGTGGTGTTGGGGCTGTCTATAACATGCTTGTGTGCAGAGAAAGGATTACCCCACATGGTGCGTATATGAAATAGGGATTCAGTGTACTTTAAAGCAATTGGATCTGCCTTTTACCAACCAACACATCATTAGCAAGTCTATCTCTGATACCTGAACATGAACCCTTCCCTTATCTGATTGGACGTATTCACAGCTCCATGATCAGGTCGATTCACCTGCTCAAGTCATCTCAAAGTTTGGGTTGTCCTTATTCACAAACTGGAAACATGGGTCATTTGTGTAATTTTTTAGATCAACCAATATGTTTTTTTTAAGCTGCCTTTTATGGTTGTGAAGCTTGGAGAGTTTTTACTGGTTAAATTTTGGGACATGATCCAAAACTGATTTCTTGAAACCCTAAACAATGGGCATAAAATCAGTCTTCATAAAGAAGAACTTGACCTGAAGATAATTAAGGCAAATCTCAGTTGTGGTTGACCCTTTGAGACCCAAACAGAGAAAGAAAATTTGTCCTGACAGATATATGATCTTCCACTATCTTCCACAGCAGCAGTACTACATGGCCCAACCTGATCCAGGGCAAGTTAGGTCTCAGTTACAATGAGTGAAAAGGAGCTGTTAATAGGTAACACTAATACTAAGCCCACACGGTCGGAGGGGGGAAAAAAGTGCCAGTGTAGCATGTTGCTGGTATAGTGCTACTTCTTTTAGTGTCTTTTAGCCTTGATCAGAATTTTCCCTTACTCTTTAACATCTTAACCAAAACCTATAGATAGAGGATTACAACAGGGGTATATTGGTTGCTTTGGAAGACATTTATAACCTGTTTTATGACTTCAGGATTAAAACGTGTTGCAAATGTAATTTATTTGACATCTGAATTGGTTCAAGATAAAGCTGTGGTGCAATAACTTATGTATTAATTCAAACTGCTGCTCATAGACGTAGTCATCTAACCACTTCCCATAGCTCGGATGAATCATATAAAAAGGGGAGGGTGTCTCCATCTGACTCTCAACCACAGCTACCTCTGATCATAAATGGAAAATTCTGTTGGTTTTCTTACCAGAGAACATTCTGCCATCTCTGTGGGATAACTTTATGGATGTAGGTCATTGTCGTAGTCAACAAAGGGCCAGGTATTTTTAGATATAAAAGGAATACCAACAGCAAAACGGACTAAAAAGTTCCATCACCAGTAGCTGTTTGAGCTGTGTGTGTGGTTTCCAATGAGGCTCCCCCAGTTGCTGACTTAGGGGAGTGAGGCTATAAAGGCTGCAAAGCTCTCCATGTCTAAGCGGTTTACAGTGCACCCCGACTGGGAGGTAACAATACCACTGGTGGATGTATACACATATCGTCACAGATGTGTGTGTGTATTGGCAAGGTGGACAGTGGAGTCAGTGGTGATAATCTGTCATTGGTGTGAATTACTCCCATTCAACACATGAAAAGCAGTATGACAGACAAGGAACAATTACCATTCTGTGTTTTGTAAAGGATGAATTTAGCAGCATAAACAAAGCCTCTTAGCATGCAGTTGAATACATCAACTACAGCACCATGGGGTGATTATGTCTGAATAAAGAATGAATAACAATATCGGTACATTGTGTGTCAACACTCCTGATTCTACAGATTATGTTTGCTTTGTGNGTGTGTGTGTGTGTGTGTGTGTGTGTGTGTGTGTGTGTGTGTCAGTGTGTGTGCTCTCTCAGTAGAGGTTCCAGTTTCAAACAGCCACCTCATCATTCATGCTCCTCAACAAGAGCAGCTAGTTTTCATAAAGTGCCAATGCGTAGCATACGCTGAAAATGAGCGCGGTATCGTGTTGCCTCAGCGCACGCCAAACCATTAAGTAGGTTTCCTTTTTATTTTTTAATTTATTTATTTAAAGATGGGACGGAAATGGCAAGCTGTGAGTCATGTCTCCGTCTCATGCTCCATTTTAGAAATTAAACATTCTTAATTAATCTAATGGAGCTAATGTGGCGATACTTCCTGCCCGGGATCCTCTGCCTGGAATCCTTCTGTAACCTGAGAGGCACCTCGCAAAAGCGAGAGGTGCTGGAGGGCGAAGTGCTACAAGCCACCACAGGCCCTTGGATGTGTTCCTCACTGACATCATAGCCCTGGCTCGATGAGCTGTCTCAGTGGCCGCTGAAGCATGGAAACAGACAATTTGGTATCACTGGCTGGCCACCGCTATAATACTAATTACTTAAACTTGTAGTGCAAATCACAAATAAAAAGCCTCACCACAAGACAAAACCATTTGTGTCCAAGAAAAACACAGTCTGTGCGCACACAGTATCCAGTGACAACCCAAAGTTTTCCTATGAATTCTTAAAGAAGTTGAGGTTTAATTATTCAAATGGCTCAATAGTAAGTACTCCAAGTTTTTTTTCCTTTCTTTCTTCTACTCAGTGCTACCATCTCTCACTTCTTCTCAACTGCATGTCACACATTTTCTCTGAGCACTCAGGGCCAAAATGAGTTTCAGTCATGGATCATGGCAAGTAATGAAATAATCCCAAAATGACACTGTGAAATTGCTGGATGAGAGAAGGTGCCGCTTGTCAGGCAGCTGATTCTATTCCCCCCATCTATCTCTGATCTGTTGAAGTCACACACTATCAAGGAGAAGTGCCGCCGCTGTATATATTTGTTTGAGATGTGGCGGCTGGTGACAGGGGGTGAAATCAGCCGTGTGGGAGTTATCGGATGTTCCAGTTTGTGCCCCCATAAAATCGACATGAGACACCCCGTGCTTCTCCCACCTCTCGTTTCTGCGGGCGGCGGATGGTTAAAGGTGGGGAGTTGAAAGAGCAAACAAGAAGGCAACGGCCACTCACTGACTTAACCTCTGTCATCAGAGTGCTCCGGTGTCAGCATGCGAATCAAATCAAGATGAATGGGGCCTATCCCGGCCACTGGAGGCTCGCCTCATTGGGCCCAATTTCATCAGCGCCAGTAACTGTTCATATAGAAAGATTAATAGAGCGTCTGACCATGCTGCTGTGCGAGGAGGAAACTCAGACGCATACAAATAGGTTCCCGGTCGACGGGAGAGAGGGAGATATTAGGGTGTTGCGCGACAGGAAGAAAAGGTGGAAGCACCTCAGAGGGGGCCTCCACTTTGATGCCTAATTGATAAGGTTCCACAGTGACATGTTCATTTGTGAGACTTTACTGTTTTAATTGTGTTACACTTTGACACTGAGCTACTGTCTGCTGCTTTTTCCATCTCTCTGTTATCCCCCCTGTGATCGTACAGTGCTTTACATGGATATTTGTGTGGCACAGGGAAGCGGGGAGGAGGGAGGGCGCTTTACGAGTGCCTGCATTGGCCCTCTGCCCAGGTGCGTTAAAAAATACTGACAGATTTTGCAACAAAACATAAACATAAATGTCGTGTGCTGAGCTGGTGTATGCAGATTGAATTGAATGCAAGGTGATCTCTGTAAATGACCCGTCAGTGTGTAAAAATTTATATTAGAAAAAAGGAGGTTAAACAATTCAAAGCATCAACAATGCCATCAGTGATTTCAAAGCAGCCGGCTCATAGTCTCACTCGCGTAGAGGTTAAAACCAGCGTTTTCCCCTCCAGCTATCATCCTGCCACAGCCATGTTGACAAGCTTATGTTTATGCTGTTACAACATCCCTTTTATGGTTTCGGATGTAATCTTGTTAATGGCATAAGCTGTTTTGTGTACTATTGTTTTTGAGTATTCACTGAGTGTGTGTGTGTGTGTGTGTGTGTGTGTGTCCTCATTCATTCGCCTCCCCCCCCCTCTCTCTCTCTGCCTTTTTTTTTTTCTTTCCCTTTTTGCTCCATTTTGGTCCAGCAGTGCAATACAAGGTCTGTAAATACAATTGTGGCCCAGTTAAGAGGCTCCACTTTTCCATTTTAAGGCTAAATTTCTTGTTTTCTCTTCCTCCTTAATGTGATTAGAAAGAAGTTGGTAGTGCTTGGAACTTCTTTCAGCTGCTGTGTTAAATGGGACCCTTCTTTAAAACACAACACCTTCCACCCCGTTCCCTCTCGCACTACAACTAAACATCATCCTGTTAGATGCCCCCGGTGTTTGGTATTTTAAGTAATTGATCGTAAGTTTGAGCTGATATGATGACTCCCCCTCCCTCCCCAACAGCAATTCACATTATGACAAGAGGGCGGCTCCCCTTTTCAATCTGATACGCCAAGTTTATGATGGAAGCGTTGTATTTTATAGTGACAATAAAACATGACAGACAAGGTTTTTGAGAAAAAATAGCAGACACTGTTTTTTCTGCTATATTACATTATTGATTCCCATTAAAAAAAACAAACTGAACTGCATATTTATGAAACAGTCAGATGGGTTTAGTATAGTAAACGTGGGTGATTGATGCTGCTTTCGGTTGAAAAATGCACTGTAACTTTGGTGTCTATCAAAGCTTCTTGCCACAGCATACTCACATCGACACTCAGACACAGATATCATTTAATACCACATATTACGAAGCATTTTAGTAAGCCAATAAAAGACTAATACTTACAGCAGATCAAAAAAGAAGCCCCAGAAGCTGTATTAAGTTGCACAACATGCATACAAAGATTAAGGCCCAGGGGCCTTCTGACACTTTGGGCCCCTTGTTGAGCCTGTTTCATAATCCAACAGTGGCAGAAAAGCCAATATAAAATAATGTAGCATGTGCTTTTTTGTTTCTGTGTGTTTGCTTTTCATGGAAGATGGATAAAACTGTGACGCCAGCACATTAAAAAATGTCTTTCTGCTGGCTCCTCCTTTCTATTTATCTTCATGTGCACATATATTGTATTTAACATCAGGGTTTATCAACATCTGGATCTCGGCCTCCATCCGGACTGAACAGCAAGTCAATCTGGACATCCGTTACCTCGTGTTAAGAAACAATACATTAGTGTTTTCTTTTTTGAAATGAATGTTCTGTCCATCAAGTAACTGTCAGTGATGTTGTAGCTGGAGATTAATCACAGTGATCAGATGAATGTGGCTTTAATGTGGCCCGTTTCCTTGTTGTCGACATTATTCATGTATTAAAGTTGCACCAGAAATTTAGTATCAGCACCTAAACCGCTGATAAAGAAGGTGACTCATTTTCTCCAGTACACAATTTCCACAACTAGTGTAAATTTACAAAAAGTCAGGGAAAAAAAGGTCAGACTGAGCGCTGTCTGCCTCTCTTTCATGCAGTCAGATCACAAGAGATGTTACAGTTGTGTTATAATCACACATCAGAGTTCAGGGGTCAAACTGATGCAACTGATTGCAGCCAAACTCGTCATTTCTGTATTTTGAGAATCTTTACTATCTTAAATTTGAACATATGTAACTTAAAAGTTATAAGTGAGTTGATTAAATGTTATTTGGTTCTGGATCTCTGACCTGAAATAAAAATCAGATGCAGACTTTTGAGAACAACCTCCTGATTTACAGTATACATTACATTACAGTATATGTCATCATTATGTTATATGTCACTCAGTAATTCCTCCGTTTCATAACCCCACTCTCTCTCTCTCTCTCTCTCTCTCTCTCTCTCTCTCTCTCTTTCCCCCCCTCTCTCTCTCTCTTTCCCTCTCTCTCTCGCACTCTTGCCCCCACAGCCGTTGGCATCACTCTTGTCCCGAGGCTTGCATTAATGAATTCAATAAATAAAGTGCCACACCAACCCATCCATTACGCGCATTCGTTTCTGAACAAAACATTAATCAATTCCACTGTATGTACTAATGCAGCGGCCCCAATCAATCTGAACTTCTTATGACAATTAACGAAGCTTTAGCGGCCGCTCTGCAACATGCTGACCCATCAATTACTGCATCTATCAAACTGACTGGCACTAATGGCAGCTCGCTCCCGACTCTCTCTTCCTGCCCAACTCCGCTGTGAATATGCAGACACGCACACACGTACGAGCAGGACAGCCTTTGTGCAGTGCAGAAAAGAATCAATTCATATCAATTATACATGCTTCGCAAAATGTGTTAATTCACACGCTTGAATACAGTTCTCCTTATTCATGTGGTGACTGGAGCGAGTAGAGGAGATGGCTTCTTCAGTTTACGTATCCCCTCTTGCACATTTACACTAAACATGTTTTAATAATTCAACTGTTTGTAATGTCTTATTTGGTCGCTGGTTTTTTGTTTTGTTTTTTTGGGGATTGAAAAGGTCAGAAAAACTGAATTGAAAGTACATATTCTGTTAGGAAGCATTCCACTACAACTGCAGTTATCAGGCCTAAATTGTTTGTCAAAACTGAGTTAAAACTTAACCACAAGTGCTCATTTTCACACTTTCAGTCGTCCCTCCTTATTCATTCTCGTTCAGATTTTCTTCATCCTCAGCTGTCTCTCTCTCCCACACCTCCCGATCCTCCAGCAGGCCTCAGCACTGGCCCCGGGGCCCTGATCCCATGTCAGAGGCGGCATGTCGGTACCAGAGTTCACCCCAGAGCACGTCTGCCTGCATAATTAGAGAAGTGAATCCAACCACTCTGTTCGGAAGAACAAGCGAAGCCCCGCTCTTCCCACCCCCCTCTCTCTCTCACTCTCTCTCTCCTGCCTGCCTGCCTGCTGTACACGGCTTAATGCGAGCGTGTCATGACTATAACAAAGGTGAGCGGAAGATGGTAATTAAAAATTAAAGTGGACAAGGGGTGGCTGGATACACCTCTTTTAACAGCAGGCAATCGAGGTGGGAAAAAAGGGGGGAGAAAAAAAGAAAAAGGCATGCTGGTGGCAAACCAAATGAGTCTGCCTCTTAGCTACTGCTGCTAATACCTCTGAGTGATGTGGGTATGATAGTACGGTTTCTCTGCAACGTACAAGCCCTGCATTAAACCTTGAAACTCGTAGTGGTTTAATGGATGACTGATTGTACTTAAGGCGTTTTGCTCCAGACACCTAAATGTGGTTAAGTGACAAGGCAACTTGAATGATATGAATACAGCAGTAGGATACGTTTCTGTTTTGTGATCACCAAAAATGATATGCAACCAAACATGAGGAGATCAAATTAGTTGGCATGAAGCCATTTAAGCTAGAGTCCAATTAGCAAACCTGCAACGGCTGACGTTTTGGGAGAGCAGAAACATGTTGGGAAACAACTGCAAATTTACTTCGTGAGGCAACGTTCGTTTGGAGTCATGTTGCAAATGTAATATAAAAACGCAATCTCCTTTCAACTCTGTTTTGGTCTCCAAAGACTCACCTGCCTCTTTAGCTTCTTATTGTTCCACTGTACTCACGAGTAAAGTTGATTTTTGTAGCTTTTTGCTAAAATAGCTCCCGTCTTTAGCCAAAAACCAGGTTATGAGAGCAGTAAAACAGAACAGCAATGATAAAGTCAGCATCACAGAACCAAAACTATCATCTTTTCACCTTACGCAGGGTAATCAAGACTATCTTTTTCCATAGAAAAGCCCTTTCTGTGGGGCACATGTCTAATCCTTACATTGCAGGTTGATAAAAACCCAATTCTCGCTTTGTTATACATTTACTCCATCTTGAACAAAACGCTTTACTAGTCCCTTGTAAACTGCCTCACAGCTGATTACCGACTAAATGACATTAAGACCCGTCACAGACACCGGGATTATACAAGGCTGGACATCTGCAAGAAAGAACTCTAGCGGTACATTTAGTTTTGTCTTTTTCCGAGTGCTTGTTGTTAAGTCTGTGTAGAAATGCAGTGAGAAAGAGCAGGGGAAAAGCTGTAACCTGGAAGTCTGTGCCAGCACACTGGAGTCTATTAAAGTGATCGCTGCAAGTAGTCCTAAATCATTCAAATGATGTAAACACTTTGTTGTTATTTGCTCCCACCGTTTGGCCACCAGTGCAGTGTTTTAAAGAATTACCTGAACCATTTACATAGCAGTGGGTCACAGTTGGACTATTGGATTTTATGTGGCCTAAATATAATTTAGGTCTCCAAAGCGCGAAAAAGCTGCATAGTGTTTTAGGAGTGATAACAACCTCTTGCATTTACATATACATTTACTTTGTCTCTTGTCACAATGTCTTAACCTCTCTGTCCCTGTTCCAGCCGTAAATGAACCTGTCTGAGATGCCTTTCCTACCCTCCCTGCAACACACACACACATACACACACACACTTCTCATTCTCCTCTTCTTCCTCTTCTTCTCATCCTCCTTCTAAATTGCAACCCTATATTTCTGGACCTCTGATGCAATTATGCCACCTCGATTGCCTTGACGTGGAAGCGGGATGGGGAGAAAAAGAGAAAAAAAAAAAAAAAAAAACAACCGCACACAAAGCCTGCCTTTTGTGTATCAAGAAAATAAAGGCTTGAAATTGCCTCAGACCACTGCTCTGTCTCTCGTATTCTCCTCTCATGGACACAAACACAGTCTCGAAGCCCCGTCTCAGTCACATACACAAAACGCATTCACAAGACAGCCAGGCTTCCCTGAGATGGGACAGGATAAAAGTCGACAGTTTCTATTATCAATAACAAGATAAAATACAGAGGTCTTTTATCTCTTAAAATGTAAATTTATACAAGGCTCCATACCTCCATGCTGTAAATATCTAACATCTCTTAAGACCACAGAACTAGACTCAATTGATTTTCCTCCCCTCCTCCTGGTTGCAACCATCTGCAAAATCTCCAAGTCTGTCATAATATCAATGATGAAATTAAAAATCTTCCATTTGTCTAAACCATGAGGGAGATCACCCCGGTTCAAGCCATTTACTCTTTAAATTATATGATTGATTTCCTTTAAGGTTATTTGTTTATTTCAATGTTCATATCTGCTCTATCTAAATCATTTCTCAAGTTTATTCTATTGATTTCTCGGGGACACTGGCCTTTCTCCCTTTCTTTCTGTAACCTTGCCTTAACCATATCAGTTTCCTTCAGAGCTCATTTGCATGAAATAAGCTGGGAAAATGCATTGATTTCCTCCTTTACACTTTGGTGCCCAGTCCCTGGTTATTTGTGATGAATGCGCACGGCATTTCACGGCATTGTAAGTCTCAAGTATAATCACCTCATTGCGATGCGGGAATTTACATTCACTCATATTCCTTCAACTGTGCTGAGTTTTTAGAAACCAAACAGGGGCGATCATTTACATGGCTTTTAGGGTAATTGCTTTGAAAAGATAAAGTGATTAGTTCACGTAATTTTGTTTGATGCGGTTCTACGGAGATTATGCAGTCCATTATACAGAACATCTGATAAAGGTGACAACTACAATAGCGCGGCTTGCTCGTTTTGCTCCGTACAGATGAAAGATTCTGTGCACGGTGCAAGAATAAAATCTAGATTTACAGATCAAAGTGGAGTCTGCGATTCTGGAGAGAGATTGTTGATATTTAGCTAGTTAGCATATTTACATAGATAGCATGAGCCAGATTTATCTCTTTCCCCTCCTCTCCCTCATCCCCTGGCCTCTGCACATGCACGAACATGCACATGACTTGATAGTGTCGGTCTGGTCTATTTGCAGAGCTGTGTACAAGCACCAGGTGGGGTGTTTTTTAGCACAGACTGTGGGAAGATATTCATAAATTTGACCAAAAAAAGTGTGTTAAATTAAGATCGCATACTCCACCTTTAATTGAGTATTCTTGATTTTTTTCTTATCAACCATACAAAAGTTTATCAAAACACTCAAGTCATTTGGTTTCTCCTTTATTAGCTCTGTTTTCAGACAAACAACCTCTTCGTTATACTGATTAAAGGGAAAACAATACTTTTAAACACACACTGTAACAAATATTCCTTTAACATTAAAGTAGAATACTGTGCTTGCTGGTATATTACTGTATTTGTTCACTGTCACTGTTGTAATTCACTTAAACTATGTGTTGTATAATTGATACAGATATTGATTTAGTTTTCTGTTTAATACTGTAACGAGACCTTCCAATAATGAACAGCATTTATATCTGTAATTGCAGCTGGAACTATAGTTTTGTGTCATTCATGTCATTTCATGGCCTTTTTGTGTAATTTTGTGTCTTGTTGTTGTCCCTTGGTGTCTCATTTTTGTCATGATGTCTCATTTGTGTAGTTTTGCATCTCCTTTGTGTGGTTTTATGTCCATTTTTTCTTGTGTCTTGTTTGTGACATTTTGTTTGTGTCTCTTTGTGACAGCTTTGTCTCTGTCATTTTGTCTCATTTTTGTCATGTTGTATCTCATGTTGTGTGTTTTTTGTGTCAAAGTATTTCTTAAGTTCACATCCTCAGTCTTTACAGTTACATGCTTTAAATGATTATTCTTGTTTTGCTCCAAAAAATGTAGTTTTTCACTGTATATTGGGAAAAAACTACATTACTGTTGCAATTTAGCTGTATTTTTTACAGTACTTCATTACAGTGTAAGCTGCATGTTCTATAACATGTTTCTTACTGTCAGCAAAAACAACATGACTAGATCAAAACTAACCCTCTCTGCTGGTTCTTCTGGCTCCTCTGCCTTGTCTGTGTCACTCAGCCCCAAAGCCATTTACTCCTGAAGAGGTACATCTTAAAAACAAGTCACACATACATTGTTTCATTCATTTTTAATGCTCAGTAATTTCCCAAAACAGCTGGACCCTGTAGTTTTTAACAAATGTTTCTTAAGCTGACATAAACAGTGAATTTTTTTGGGGGGGGACTATTTTCAGTCACACACAATCAGTGGACGGTATTTCTGGCAGCAGCATGTTGACTCACAATAAACTACAGCGTCCAGGTTCCCTAAAGATTCAAATGTCTTGAGAAAATCCCCTTTTTTTAAAAAAAAATTGACCATTCAGTTCTTGCATGTTCTGCGGATCATCACCAGATTACACACTATTAAGAACTTCCTTAACCAAAGTGGCTGTTTTACCCTCAACTTCACCTACAAACACCTCACCTATTCCAACCAAGCTGTATCAAGACAACTCCACCGCCCGGCTGGACAAACGCACAGTCACACATACTAAATACCGCTTCCAATGCACTCAATACCAACAGCCTGGATTTATGCAATGACACAAAAAGCCTCAGAATATCATGTGAGATACGCCCATATAACCAGTGACCCAAGAACTCGGCCAATCAAACTCTACCCTGTTTATGTCCCTTTGATTTTTTTTTTTTTTCTTTTTCCAGTCTCGTCGTTGATCCTGTTGCAGCTTTTAGATAATGCTAATAGATCACAGGCCAACGGGACGGAGCAGGATAATGGAGCTTTCATTGCAGCCTGATTAACTTGGCTGTAGGGTTCCACCTCACCCCTTTCGGCATGATGGCCCTAATTAATAACGATTGCTCCCCAAAATGTGCAAATGGAACGATAAACGAAGGACCAACTAATTAACTGCAACCATTTCTACTAATCATTAGTTAACATCCCGTTTTGTCATCATTACACTGATGCGTGTGCAAGGGCAGATAAAACAGGCCAGCCCTTTTTTCTGCCCTCCCATAAACCCTAACAGCCATATTTTCTTCCCCTATAAAAAGACTAACAAGTAATTAAAGTCAAGGCCCAAGTACGGTTTGGAAAGTTCTGCCTGTAAATATTCCACTGTAGGCCAGGCGTCGCCATTTTTCTATCAAAATTTGCTGAAACCATCCCGTCCGTTCCTGCTTCGTTCCCGTCAACAGCAGATAGGGTGAGAAATAAAGCAAAAAAAAATACACCAAAAACCACTCCGAGAAAGGCTGTCAGCACTCAGCTTCTTCTCTACTGCAGAGTGTTCCAAGTCATTTATTTCTGTGACTTTTTGCCAGCGAGGAAATCAGCGTCAGTGAAACGCTGCTGTTTTTCTTTATGGCCGTGTGATGCAGCCCTTTCAGAGGATGCTGAGATGCACTGTTCATACTCGGGCCTTTGAATTTATGTGCTGTTTCCAGATGCTGAGGAATCGACAGGGCTCAATGATGAACAGGCAGCGTCAGCCCTGCTGCCAATCAAAAAGTTAATAGTCTGTCCATCGAGGAAGGGAAATGACCCCCTGGGCTTCAGCCTGCACATCTCTCTCGCACGCTGCAACTCAAATCCAACTGCTTTTGACTTTGTCTGCGTGCATACAGAACGCCAGCGTTTTGTGTCAGCCTGTTCTTCATGTCTCTGTCACTTCTAATTTTCTCATTCCATCCCTTTCTTCACCCAATTCTTTTGGAGAACTTCTGCAGCCATCTTTAAGCAGGCAAAATAAAAATCTAATTTTGTCAGAGGAAAAGATTACAGAGAATAATCGTGTGCTCCCTGTTTTCTCGCCTTTAGCAGTATGTCTCTGTATTGTTTTTCCCTCTCTGCACACCTTCATATGTGCATTTCTCAGCTGAAAGCTTAAGGCAGTCTTTGTCAATGTTAAATTGGAAAGTAATCCTGTTATAACCTCACAGAGGTTATGTGTGCGACTGGGTGATTAAAATTACCTCCAAATATTCCAAAGGAGCCATTATTTATTGGTGCATGAAAGACACAAAGGAGAAAGCTGCAGTCTTATTCCTAATACTTAAAAACGCTTTAGAGAACACTATGTATGGTAATGAAAAAGCTGTCAATAGTCCTTTCAAATGGCCTGATTTAGTAAAACTTTTATGAAGACAGTAAATTTCATGTCTTATTTTCTTGATCCTTCCAAAGAGGGAACATGGAGAAATCAATAGCTCTCCAGCCTGGCCCTGAATTTTGCCAACCTCTAATTATTATCTGGCTCGTGGCGATGATCAGCGAGTAATTGCAACTACTGGGCTTCTGATGCCAGCGACAGGTCCAATAGCAAATGTCTACATGCAAAGCACTTACCTGGCTTAGTAAAATCTATACAAGAAGGTCACCATCCCTGCAGAGATTTGGCCTGAAAGTGATGCTTTTAGGGTTTGGTTAAAAGGCCTTTTCATAATCAAAGTTTTAATCATTTCTGTTGGAATGCGTTCGATGCTAATCACCAGCTATACATGAAATACTTGACTTTAAAAAAAATATATGTCAGTGCCTCAGCCGGTATTGCATCCTCTGCTTCTGTGTTCAAAGTGTTTATGTTTGCATCATGGATTCCACCCAATGTGTCCATTGTTAATGGCTTCTGTGGTCATTGAATTTGATGCAGCTCATTTACAACCAAACAAAAGAGCAGCGTGCAAAAACCCCAACAGCCCCATCCAGTATTATTGATATTTCACTGGCTGCATCATAAAGCTCAATAATCTCCTTTGACTGGAAGTTAAGTGATGGAATTCCATTCGATGGCCTCAACTTAATCATAAACAAAAAGCATTTTGATGTTTATGCATTTTCAAAGGGCCTCCTGAATGCCAAAATGCAGCTATAACTGCTGAGCACCAAAGTTAAGCTCAGACAGATGTTACACTCTGGGTTCTTTGTAATGTCCTCGGTATAATCATGCCATGTTGGTCTCTGCTGTGATTACAATGAATGATCCGTCACTACAGAGGTCGCTCTGTGTTTTTTGTGCAATGCAGAAATGCGCTGTACATCTCTTCTATCTTTTAAAGGACGTGTGCCAGAGACCAGCATCATCAGAGCAACGTTGCTGATGTTAAACTAACCTCATTCACTTCACTTGTGTTTGACAGAAACTCGAGCCAGTGTTCATTATTACTCTACATACTGAGCAGTAAACAGCCATAATAGAGAGAAAACATCCTTGGAACAACAGTTTAACTACATTTTGATCATTTTATCAGGTCTTCTTGCAATTGACATGTTTACAATTTTAGCATTTAATCATTTTATCAACACTGTCGGTTTTTTCATTCCTTTTATTTGGTTTTAAAAATCTTCTTTTACCAACGTGAGCCGAGTTTTGTATCACAGTTTAATAATCTGGAATTGGTGTCATTTTCACTGTTTGCCATGACCACAGTTGAACTGTTGATACCGTACAAATAACACAAAGTACCCAACATACGATGACATGTGCAGAATTTGTGAAGTATGTTGTAGGACTTTTTTTCTTCAGAACTTCTAAAATGTTTAAAAAAAAACAAAAAAAACAACTAAATTTCCCCAATCTCTGTACTTCTCAGAAACTGTTTAAAGGCACACTTGTGTTATTGTGTTGTCGGTTCAAAGCTTTGCAGTCAGTGTCAGAATGCTTGATTTAAATCCTGTTCCAGTGAAATTACATTTCTATAATACTAATTTGCAGCAGCAGATGCGTTTTAAAAGAAACATAATGAAGAAACACTTTTAGTAACTTATTCATCTAGTGGCAAAATGTTAACTGACTCTATATTTAATTAGTTTCCTACATTATCCAAATAGTGTTCAGGTTATAATAAACTCACCGACAGTGATTTTGTTGCAACAGTTTTGTCCAAAGTTCTACATTGTTAGACCCTATAGGCACTAGGGCAATACGAACATTTTTTGTAGCGTGCATTAATCAGAAACAGTGTATTTACACTTTCAGGCGAATGTATAATTTATCACATGTAAAATTCATGTATCATTATGGGCAAGTGCTATGTTGAGGGCCCGTTTCCTGCAGAAATAAAAGTGTTGAAGCATGATTTTAGTGTATGGTGCCTTTTATAATTAACAGTGGTTAGAGGTCAGACCTTTTTTCTGTTATCTTGATGTCTCTCATCACTACACGAACTAACAAATCACACTGTTCAACTGAATGAAACTTTGCATTGAGCCCTCTTTGGAAAAGGACAATTTTAGATATTTGAGGCAGCTTTAGAGCTGTCTACGGACCATGGGCCTATAGTCGGATGACACTGACAGGCCCTGACATTGACACGAGCATCAGACAGAGGGGAGGGATGTGGGACAGGGGGTGACAAATAATAGGGGAATTAGAAATTAATGATTCTGCCAGTATGTAAATGGCAATTAAAGGACAAGCATTGCTCCAGGCTCTCTGGCCCAAACCGGCTCCATTTGTTTGAATAGGGACTGACACACACATACACATGTGCACACATGCTTGCGATGCATATTGAGGCTGTGACACACATCTATATGGGCATAAAAGAAAATAAATCCACAGCGCCCTGGACCAGATCAAATCAATCGGCCATAATGGCAGGGCTGATCATTATGTGCTGCTTTTGTTTGTTTAAATGAAGAGTGAGTGTGTCTGCCATATTGAGTTGGATTAGGCAGTGGAAAACTGTTGCCTGCAGCTTCAAACGGTGGATGAGAGCTGCCACGTCAGGCTCTACAGTAAAACACAACGATGGCCTATTTAGAAATCAATGTCAAACTTTCATTAGTAGGGTCAACAATGTAGATATATTGTCTAATCGCTGTGGGTCAACAAGGCATGAGAGGAGGCTAAAGGGGAGATGCAGCTTCCCCAGGGTTCCAGCGCTGCAGGGAAGATTTAGAGCTATAGATCCTAAATTCAATCCTCTGTATGGACCGTTAAGTTCGGAGGGAATATGGCCACGTCTGTCAAAATTGTGCAGCATCTGGCAATGTGTGTGTTTTGAGCCAGCTTTGGTAAAAACACCTGAGCTCAGAAAAACGCAGCTAATTGACGAGCAGAGTAAAAGGCCCGTGTCCTGTCTGCTGATGATGAATGCGGAGCCGCAGAGACTGATGGAGGGCCTCACTCAAAGATTGGGTCAGCGCTGACCTAAACTGTTATGGATTCGGATTCTGCTGTTTCTTGCGGTGTTTTGTTTTTTTGTTGAAGAAGCTCTAATGAGAATATCCGTCAGTCAGATATGGAGGCAGATATGATGAGACACAGTGGAGAAGTGATGAAATGATGCCAGTGTTTGAATGCATCGAAAGTTCACGTTTGTACTTTGTGCTTTTAAAGTATTAAAAATGCAATTATTATGTTGCAGAATCTCATACTGACTTGAAATTAGGCAAGAAAAAATAAAAAGACAAATGAATCAACATTTTTAACATGCTAGAAATGTTTTTTCTTCGATTTAAATGCTAAACAGAAAGGTCTGCTGTGTTAGATGCATATTAGAGCACAAGTGGCTTCCATTGCAATGTCACAAAGTTTTGTACCTTCTTTTAAAAGCAGATAAATGTTACAACATTCTGCACAATAAAGGTCAAACAAATCAGCTCTACACATTTTCATAGGCTTCATCTGGATACGAACAGTAAAGCTACTTTGCAAGATTTCTCAATAATGTATGTTCCCATATACTCTCATTTCAACAGATATGATAGAATTTGGCTTTTGTTGAGCTCAACAAAAAAATCTCAGCCCATAACCTGAGACTTAAAAAAAAAAAACAAGAGATGAAAAAACATCCAGTGATTATTGTAAAAACCAAAGAATTAAAGGAAACATTTTAATATAAAATAACAAAACAAGCAGAGTGTCGAGCATCTTTTATGCAAGAGCAATTTTAGTTGGCATCAACCTTTACTTCTTATATGTTTCAGTCATTTAAAAGCAAACATTTCAGGAGAGAATGGTACAAGAGGTGCCTGCGTTCATTCATTTTTGTGATCAGTTTGTACCACTCCTTTGTTCAGCCTTTTTGCTGTCTTATACAAAGATGCTCTCGTAAGAATTCTGCAGTAGGGAAAACTTTTTAAGTTAAGCAGAAAAGTCTTTTTTTTAACATCTTCTCTTAAATAAAAACTAAATTGATAAAGCTAGCGGGGGTGAAAGCAGCTACAAAGCAGGCAATCTGAGTGAATCATGTTTAAATAGTTTCTCACATTACTACCAGTGAGGGCACTTTTTTTTTTTTTATTCAATTCATTTTTAGCAGCGACTGTTTACAACACTCGGATGCTCTTGGCTTCACCCCCATTACTGAAGTGAAAATCCTCCTCTGATCATCCCTCATCATATCCGACCACCCGGGGCATTAAAATGACAGAGTGTTAATTAATCCATCATGCTGGTTAATTGAAATGATGTATGATAGTCATTTGTTTTCTTTGATCCCTCAGCTATTAGTGCTGTGTAACTGTATGACTAATTAGATATGAGAACACTTCTGAAATAATTGGCTGTAATTAATCTGTCAGCAGCGTGGAAAAATGACTGTGTCTGACGGTTATGACAAATAGCAATGTTGATATAATTATGTAATGATCAAGACCACTCGGTCTGACAAAACCCCCACGTCTTGGATGTGACGTAAATCCAGTTTGCTCGGCTTTACTCGTGTCTTTTTTACATTTTCTCTACCGCTTTCTGCCACCCAGGCTTTTTTTTTTCTTCTTCTTTCTTCGCCAGTGTTGTTTGCTGTGTGTATTGGATGAGCTGCTGAAATGATGCTATCTGACTTGCCGCTTGTTCTTTTTCAATGGTTTCCATGGCAACCGGTGTCAAGTGATTGAGGTCGGGGGTCAAACTGACCAATAGTGAGTAAATTACATTTCTCTGAATGATTCCCCCTGAGCTGCTATTGAAATAGAGCTCCAGCCCTCTGATGGATACATCTTGTCATTCACAGTTTAGAAGGCAAGAGGGGAAAGTACAAACATGACACCGGGGGGCTCGCCTCGCTCAAACAAAGAGGCTGCTGAATGAATAAACACACAAACACACCTACAGTAGAGCGGCCACTTTAAATAGCAGACGAGTCGGCACGCCCCAGACGTGATTTTTAGCTGCGTCTTTTATCGGAATAATGTGCTACGTTTTTTTAAAAATTACAAAACAACAGAAAAAAGAGCTGCCGAGGTGATGTTCAAGTCCACTCGTTTCCGCTGTGGGTTGTTTATTAAGGCCGCACAAAGAGCAGCAAATAGAGCAGTTCCCTCTTCTACAAACACCAGGCCTGAAGGTCATTGGTTTGTCTGAACCGAAGCTCACTCAATCCCTCAGCCAGAGTTCAAGTGCTGACGCTCGCCCTCCCCTTCCTCCTTCCTCCCCACCCCGAGTCCTCAGAGACGATCCCAACGCCGGGGTGTCAGACGGAGAACAGAGAAAAGAAGGAGATAAAAACACAAACCATTGTGATTTATTGCTTATTGTGTAGCAACAGAGTAGAGAAGAAGTGGGGAAAATAACCCAGAATGAAATCCATTGCAAATTGAATTGTCTTTGTTTGTAGCAGGCCTGCTTCAAAAAAAAAATTCTATGACAGAGGCCATAAATGACAATGGCACAATAATCTACAGCGACCTGTCCGAGAGGCTGATAAGCCATCACTAAGGGGGCTGATCGATACTAACTATTCATTTCTGAAATTATCTCCACATTGATCCAGGGACAAGTGCCAGCGAGGCAGGGGCACACTGGCCTTAATACAATAATTATATAAAGGGTTACAAGCTCATCCTCCCGACCAATAAAGCCTGTCAGCAGCAGCAGGCACAGTGAAACCCCATAATCCATCAGCACATTGGCCCCTGACCTCTGGGCTTGGAGGCTTTTCCGCGTAGCCTCTATAAAAGTTGCTTACGAAAGGACACAATTGCTGGATATACCTCAATGGGCAGAGGTGGGAAACCAGATCTGTGGAGCTAATGTAATGACGCCGTGTCAGTTGACCTCTTATTCGGCTCGATTATTGCACAGACCTCTGCTTGCCACACGTGGAGAAGAAAAAGTCACTTTTCCTCCGTCGGGTGTCCTTCACCCTGCAACCTCACATTTCGTATCAACAGTTTGTTCTGCAGTGACTCTAAAAATACACACAGAAGAAGAAATGGCAGGGATCACGCCTGTATCATAAGTACATTTGGATAAACTGAATGATTCTCCAGGGACACTTGCCTCCTCTTCCCACTTTGTATTTTAGCCTGATAAGATGAGTTTCATTCTTTCTTTTTTTTTTTTTTTTACATATAAATCTTACCCGGTGCAGCTTTAAGATTGCTGCTAGTAATCTGTGGATTTATCAAAATGAAATGAATATTCAAGCCACCTGCCATGGCTCAAGCTGAATCACTCACGTACAAAATCAAAAGAGGCGCGCCATCTGTCTGTATCACAAAGCATTAATACACGATTAAGGACATATACGCACTGCTTCAAAATATCAAACAAAGTCTGGCTATTACTTAAGTTCATCTCAATAATGCGTACACGTGTGCAATGCACAGAAAGATTGAAAACTTGAATATTTTAATGAGCTACCTAGAGATTTGTACAGATGTAGCGTACAGGCCCAGGGTAACAAACCGGATTTTTTTTTTTTTTTTGAAGACTACAACTCTGGACTCTTTTCAAATAGGAGCCAGAGTAGAGGACCTATGTCCCTAGTTATCTTAATAGACTAATTGATCTGCTATTGAAGAGGCACGTTCCTCTGAGCATCACCGAGACAGCCCGGCTCCAATCAGACAGGCATGTGTTATCAAACTGGGAAGTCAATTAAGAGAGAGAGGGAAAGAGGGTAAGAGAGAGAGAGAGAGAGAGAGAGAGAGAGAGAGAGAGAGAGAGAGAGGACAGAGGGACTGGCTCCAAGCTGTCAGCAGACTGGTTCTCACAGAGGGAAGTAGGTTTCAGAGACTTAGTCCAGACTACAGACATACAGGAGTCAATGATGCAGTGCTGGATGATGGAATATTGCCTGCAATGTAACCTTGCCTTTGTGAAGCAGCAACCTGCACTCTGCTATCTGGCTCAAAGTCACAGTCCGCAGTAGATTGATGTCTCTTTTGCTACACTTCATTCAAACACTTTATCCAACCAATGCAAGCTAATGAACGACTTAACGGGAGCTACTGAAATATAATGGTGTTGTACAGCTCATCTGCAGTTTGGAGACTGAGCTTGACATTCACCTGGGAAGCAGGAGCCCTCTCTACTTTTAAGATTAGAAACTTTACTTTTCGACAAAGCTGATAGTTAGGGCTGGCTCAGGTGACCCTTAGTTATCTCATGATACAATGAGCACCTCTCCTCTACTGTCCTCTTTCACTCTCTGTACATTTATATGTGACAGCTGCATGCCACTAACATTGTGTCTTCTCTCTCCTGTAGTTTGTGTTTTGTCCTCTCTGTGGGTATCTCTTGCCTTGCCAACCTCCCAAGTGTTTATGTGCATTTTTTGTCTGTTTTCTTTCTGCTATCTTTATTTCTCTCCACTGTAACCCCACCCCAACCAGTCGAGGCAGATGACCACCCTCCCTGAGTCTGGTTCTGCTGGAGATTCTTCCCAATTGCTTGTTCACAGGGAATCCAATGATTTTTTTGGATTTGAAGAGTTTTTTTCTTGATAATTTTGTAAAGTCTTCCCCTTACAAAGTGAAGTGCCTTGCAATGTCATATGTCATGAGTTGGCGCTATATAAATAAAGATGAACTCAATCAAATTTAATTGAATAGTCCTGTTGACGGCACATAGTACGTAGAGCAAATGTGCTTTTTCAGGAAATTTCACTGTAAATACAAAATAAAACAAACTTAAGTAGAGTTTTTGAGAGTAGTAGAGAGTAGAGTTTGTTTCTTTTACCAGACTTTCCATTTCTGAACACGATTACAAAGCGTCATGGTGTAGATTTGCATTCACATATGGGTTATTCCATCTCAAATCATCAGGGGCCTCCTGCTGGACCACCTCTGATTTGTTTGAAACTTTTTTTTTTATTATAAACTACGGATATTTAATATGGCATGAGGGAAATTTAAGATTGATCTATCAAGTTATTTCTGAGACAATTTTTAAAAAATAAATAAAATAAAATTCCCACTGACCCTTTCAGCAGTTTTTTTTTTCCCATATTGGAGTTTACTATGTTTGAACCAGCACTATCATTCTGATGAGCTGGAAACCAGCTGCCTCTCCACAGCTACTGTCAAAATAAATGAGCATTATCTGGATTAGTATCTTTAATGCAATGTGACATTATTAAGCAAAGCGCTGCTTCTCAGACATGCATGTATGGAGACAACTATTTTGAGCTGATGAGAGGTTAATTACAATATTCACCACTTATGTGGCCACAAGCTTTCATTCCAAAACCCAAATTCATGGATTCCCTGTCATTTTACCATCCAGAGTAAAACCAAACTGTTGTGCTCAGCTGTTTGTGAATTTGAATGGATGATTTCTTCACATGTTAAATGTGAATGAAGAAAAGGCCACATGCTTTTCTATTTTTTTTATTTTTTTTACAAGGCCTAACAG